CAAAGTCATGAATCTTATCGTTTTGATTATATATTGCCAAACTGTACTCTAAAATAACTATGTGTTGTTATGTGTTTAACTGTGTATGAGACTATCTAAAACCAATTCTCTGTGTGTCATTTATCTCAGCTGGAAAAGCGACTGGAAGAGTGGTTGGGAAAGACATTACCTGGCAGTGACTGGACACCTAATGCCCGGTTTATCATCCGGTCTTGGCTTCGGGATGGGCTTAAGCCACGCTGCATAACCCGTGACCTCAAGTGGGGAACCCCTGTACCCTTAGAAGGTTTCGAGGACAAGGTAAAAATTCTTTATTTATGACAAATTATTCACCTTAAGGTTAAAATCATGGACTAACAGAAAGGAATGCAGATTATATCTTGTACCCATCTGTAGCTTTAGGTTGGTCCCTATTGTTCTTGACTCTCCAGGTATTCTACGTCTGGTTTGATGCCACTATTGGCTACCTGTCCATCACAGCCAACTACACAGACCAATGGGAGAAATGGTGGAAAAACCCAGAGCAAGTAAGCAGTTCTGGGTTAGCGTGTCCTTAAGGAAGATGTAGAGTGGATGAGTTATGATTGGATATCTGGTGTTTCTTGGGCTTTTAAAGAAAGCCTCATATTCTTCTAGGTGGACCTTTACCAGTTTATGGCCAAAGACAATGTTCCCTTTCATGGCTTAGTCTTTCCTTGTTCAGCTCTTGGAACAGATGACAACTACACCTTGGTCAAGTATCTCATTGCTACAGGTAAGTATCCCTAGAAGACTGCAGATGAAAAAATGGTACTGGTACAAGAGAATGAGGGCTGAGGGGGAACTTGGAAGAAGATCCCACAAGATTGGTAGGTCTTAAATTAGGAGTTGATAGGAAATAGGAAAAAATTAAAACATGAGAACTTCACCCAGGGGAAGGAAACAAAAACCTGAAGAAAGTAACAGTGCAAAAAAAATCCTGCATACGTGTAATTAAAAACACCCAAATGGATAAGAAGGAACTCCAGGTTCTTCATAGACAGCTACTCAAGGTGCCATGTTGCTAGAGACTCACAAAGAAAAGAGAAGAAGAGTTAGTAGGTCACAAGGAAAGAATGTGATTTGAGCAGATGGTTCTCCATTATCTCTGTCCAGAGTACCTGAACTATGAGGATGGGAAATTCTCTAAGAGCCGGGGTGTGGGAGTCTTTGGAGACATGGCCCAGGACACAGGGATCCCTGCTGACATCTGGCGTTTCTATCTGCTATACATTCGGCCCGAGGGCCAGGACAGTGCCTTCTCTTGGACAGACATGCTGCTCAAGAATAATTCTGAGCTGCTCAACAACCTGGGCAACTTCATCAACAGGTGAATTGTCTTGGCTACTTTTCCCTCATTGATGAAACAAAATAACCAACACTCAAAGTGAAACTGAACTAAGTTTTTTAGTGCAGTTTGCAGAGGTTTCAGTCCATAATTTGCTGGCTCCAAGGCATGGTGGCCCATGGCAGGGGCAACCATTCATAGTGGCGGAAGACACCAAAAGCAGTGATGAGGGAGAGCAGCCCTCTTTGTCCCTTATATTATATGCAGGCTAACCTAGGGCTGATTTATCACTTAAACCCTTAATTCCAGCATTAGACCATAAATCAGTCACAAACTCTAGATTCAGCTGGCTCCAAAAAGCTCCCCTCATCCCCATAACTGTATTGAGGTTTTAGGGGTCATCCAGACACATACCTTAACATGAGTCTTGGGGAGGGGTCAGAGACAACAGATGAGCTGGGAAGAGGCCAATTTTCCCTCTGGAGACAGGAATGTGGAGAGAATAAGGGGAAAGGAGCCTGTGAGGAACAGGATAATGTGGAAGTTTGGTTTCTATCAACTGGGACCTGTTCCCAGGACACAGTAGCCCACATATGCTTGAGGATAGTTACCTAGAGCTATAATTTTGTGAAGTTGGTCCACAAATGGATTTTTGTTTTGAGATAGGGTGTCACTGTACTGTATTCAAGGTGGGCTTCAGACTCAGTGTATGTCTCAGGGTGTCCTCAAATTTGTTATCCTCTTGACTTAGCCTCCCAACCACTGGTATTACAGGCATGGGGCACCATGCCCAGAGTGGATGTTTACTGATAAAATTATTCACCTGCAAACCAGAGAAGTTTGGCTGAAAAAAGGGAGCTATTTTTGTGTATGGATAAGGATGGTTTTAGTATATTTTTCAGAGTTGTCACTTTAGCTCATACTCCACTGTTACCATGATTTTATAATCCAAAGAAATGTCCTTCGTGGCTTAGGGCTCTCTACTCCCTTTCTTAGAGCCCTGGGTCTTTAGCTCACTCCTATTACTTAGCCTTCCAGGTTTGGTCATCAGACAGTTTTATTTATTTAATTTTTTGTCTTTTTCGTTTTTATCGGTACCAGGGATCGAACTCACGATTTGCCTGCTTGCAAGGCACGCGCTTATGCCGCTGAGCTAAATCCCCAGCCCCTCATCAGACACTTTTAATAGATAAGTTTTCATTAGAGTACTTATTTGATAGCAGTTCACAATAATACATTTCAATATCATTTGAAGATAATAATTTTTTTAAATGTCCAATTATTAGCCAGGCATGGATTCAATGTCCCTCCCAAAAATAAAAGTACAGTTGTTAAACTTTATCAAGAGTCAAATTCTTAGAGGAGATAGAGAACAATTAATTGTGCTGGGTGTGGTGGCGCGCCCCTGTAATTCCAGCAGCACTTGGAAGGCTGAGATAGGAGGATTGCTGAGAGTTTGAGGCTAGTCTGAGCTACATAGTAAGACCCTTTTCTCAAGAAAACGGGGCTGGGGATTTAGCTCAGCAGGCATAAGTGCCTGCCTTGCAAGTACATGGTCATGAGTTTGATCCCCGTTACCAATAAAAAAAAAAAAAAGAAAACAGAACAAACAACAAAAAAAAAACCCCAAGAATTTAAGCTTTGCTTTTTACTTTGAGGGGTCAGGAGATAATCAGTTCTGGGCAGGAATCTGGAGAGAAGGAAAATGATGAAGATTGAGTCAAATTTATAAAAGGAGACCAGAAAGTAACTTTTTTTTTCTCTTTTCTTATTCTCATCAAGAGCTGGGATGTTTGTGTCTAAGTTTTTTGGGGGCTATGTGCCTGAGATGGTGCTTACCCCTGATGATCAGCGTCTGCTGACCCATATCACCTTGGAGCTCCAGCACTATCACCAGCTGCTAGAGAAGGTTCGGTGAGTAATCTGCACCTCTGTCTTATCTCAGGGATGAGACGCTGGCATGTTGAGACCCTTCCAACCCCCACCCTTCCCCAGGATCCGGGATGCCTTGCGCAGTATCCTCACAGTATCCCGACATGGCAACCAGTACATTCAGGTCAATGAACCCTGGAAGCGGATAAAAGGCAATGAGGCTGACAGGTACGTTGAGAAAGGATAGGGCTGGTTACCAGGACTAAGTAGCTGTCAGGCTGTGTCCTCTTTCAGGTCTTGACTGATCTCATTTCTTCCTCAGGCAGCGGGCAGGCACTGTGACAGGCATGGCCGTGAACATAGCTGCCTTGCTGTCTGTCATGCTCCAGCCTTACATGCCCACAGTTAGTGCCACCATCCAGGCCCAGTTGCAGCTTCCACTGCCTGCCTGCAGTGTCCTTCCCACAGATTTCCTGTGTACCTTACCAGCAGGGCACCAGATTGGCATAGTAAGTCTTTGAGTCAGAAAGGCTAGCCCTTTCTTAACTTATGCTTGTCATGCAGCCTATGATATGGAATTAAGGACTTGTATCTCTGTAGCTTTGCTTGGAGGACAGGAGTCTTAAGAGCTGTTCTGTGCACCCCTTCCCCACTCTGTACTTGGGCTTTGTTTCTGACAATACATCCTAAGCATCAGTTTGTAAGCTGAGTATTACCCACGTATCCTTATTGCTCTTCATGCCAGAACCTATTATCTGGTCCATAAACATCACTGATTTAAGAAATACCATGGTTATGGGGGATTTAGCTCAGTGGCCTCAGCACCTACCTTGCAAGTGTATGGTCGAATTTGATCCCTGGTACCAAAAAAATTAAAAAAAAAAAAAGTACCATGATTACCTAGTAATGGGCGAACACAAGGTAGCCAAAGTACTGGATGAACCTAGCATTAAGTTCTCTTTGATTCTGTGATACTCTGGACTTGTGATTGCTTTTTCTGAGTGCTTTCCTGAAATCAGTAGCTATTTGTTCAATGTTATGCTCATTTTTTTCTGAAGCTTTCGGATTTCTAAATGTCTTAAGAATAGGGGTTAGAGAGGCCTTTGTATAGCGTGGTAGTTTTTATGTATCCAGTAAGTGACTCTGGAATCCTTTTGCACAGGTCAGTCCTTTGTTCCAAAAACTGGAAAATGACCAGATTGAAAGTCTGAAGCAACATTTTGGAGGCAGCCAGGTGAGAGCACTGCTGTGCCGTCACCCAGAACCACCACAGCAGCACCTCATTTCCCCAAGTAGCCCTTACTCATACCTCCATCTTTTAGCCTTTCTCCTTCTATAAGTTTTTCTTTCCCATCCTAATTACAAGAGTCCTTGGAGTTAAAGGTAAATACTTTCCCTGAGCTATTACATAAAACTGGAGGTCAGAGGCAGCCAACGATAACTCCTACTGTTTTCCAGGCAAAAGTATCACCCAACCCAGCAGCCATAGAGACTGTTACAACACCTGGGCCACAGCAGATTCAAATGCTGATGGCTGAAGTCACAAAACAGGTATGAATGAAGCTTAGCCACTGGGGGAGACAAGGAAAGCTGAATTCTAAATAGCTGGTTTTGTGGACCTGTCTCACTAGGTCTCACTGCCTGCCTCCTTCCTCCTTTTTTTAGGGCAACATTGTCCGAGAAATGAAAGCACAAAAGGCAGACAAAAACCTGGTTGCTGCAGAGGTGGCTAAACTCCTGGATCTAAAGAAACAGTTGGCTCTAACTGAGGGGAAACCTCTTGAAACTCTCAAAGGCAAGAAGAAAAAGTGAGAGAATCTGGTTCACAATGTCACAAAGTCACTTTAATGAATGTGGACAGTAATAAATAAGTGTACAATCTCTATATACAAGCTGAGACCTGTTCCTTTTGTCTACTCCAAGCATTTGAGGGTCACATAATTGGCACTGGTATGAAGATGATCAATAGCTACTTCTGGGAAAGGTAGGTAGTAGCCAGAGCTGGGAAGTGATGGTCCCAGTTGTTCATGCTTGGTGTAGATTAACCATTCGGTCAATCAGAGCTCGGCGTGTTGCCTCTACTTCCCTGGTCAAGCACTCAATTTTCTGCTTGAGCCGTTCGTTCTCTTCTGTTAGCTGTGCCACTTTCCTTTCGTTCTCTTGTTCTTTTTCTCTCATACGTTGTTTTCCAGCCCGGGCTGGCCACTGGCCACTCTGTTTCCGTTTCCTGGTTCTTCTTTGGTCTTCCTCTTCTTCCTGAGCAAGGGAGCTCCGACTGGAATCTGGAGACCGAGGGCTCTGAGAGGTGCTTGTGACCTCTGCTGGTCCTGGCTCCTCAGTCAGCCACGCAAGAGATGCTGGGTCAAGAGTGGTGAATGTTTTTGATTCTTCCTTTAGGGCAATGAGAAAAGGGAAGGTGGATATTAGTTGATATGGAAAGGTAATGTCATCTTTGTTCCCAGATTTAGTTTTATTTTGTTTTTATTTAATTTTATTTGAGACAGGGTCTTGCTATAGTTCAGGCTGGCCTTGAACTCTTGGCAATCCTCCTACTTCAGCCTCCCCAGTACTAAGATTACAGGCATAAGCTCCACTCTTACCTCTTCATTTCCAGGGGGTAAGATGCAGTTACCCCCATTTTCATCTGAGGACAGGACTTCCTGCAGGTCCTCATACCAAGCTTCCAGCTCCCAGTTTGACAGTGTCCCGAAGGAGAAAGGCAATGATTCAGCTGCCATCTCTTTAGTTGGATTAGGTTCTGGAAAAGTATGCATTCAGGATAAAAACTTCCAGTTAGCAACTGTCTATAACACAGCCTGGCAGACTGGTTTACTGCCTGTTTTTGTAGACACAGTTTTATGGGAACACAGCCCTATCTGTTTACATATGGTCTGTAGCTCCTTTAATGCTACAACAGTGGAGATGAACAGCGGTGACAGACTAAACACCTGTATTGTTTATTTAACAAATCTGACTCTTAATTTATCAGTCTTTAGTGTTTTTTGGGAAGGAGGGAGAGGTGGTGGTGGGGATTGAACCCTGGGCTTTGTAGATGCCAAGCACATACTCTACCACTGAGGTATATCAACAGCACAATACTGGTATTTCTTTCTTGCCCTTTGCCCAGGACAGAGTACTTGGATATACATGTTTAGGGGATCTTAATGAAAGTCTTCAGTTCACTTAAGGACTCTACTTGTAGTTTCTACTACAACTACTCTACTAGAGGTTTCCACAACTAAACCATTTGTGTGTCTTTCTCGTATATGGGAGCTTGGGCAAATGGTCCTTTGAGTCTGTTTAACCCTGATGGGGACTGAGGATTGGTAAGATAAACTAATTGTCTTTATTGGGGCTGGCTGATTTTGAGTTAGCTTTCAATTAGGAAATGCTCTAAAAGATGCAAATTAAAATAAGACTGAGAGGGGCTGGGGATTTAGCTCAGCGGCATAAGTGCCTGCCTTGCAAGCAGGCAGTCGTGAGTTCGATCCCTGGTACCGATAAAAACGAAAAAGACAAAAAAAAAAAAAAAAAAAAAAAAAAGACTGAGAGTCCACCTCACCCTACAAAGAATGGCTATTATTAGGAAATAATCCAGTAACAAATGCTGGAGGGGCTATGAGGAAAAAGAAACCCTTCTCTACTGTTGGTGGGACAGTAAACTGGTGCAATCACTGTGGAAATTGGTGTGGAGATTCCTTAAAAAACTAGGACTAGAGGTTCCATTTCACCTAGCTATTCCCATTCTGGGTATCTTCCCAAAAGAATTAAAGGATCATACCACAGCAATACATGCACACCCATGTTTATAGCAGCATAATTTATAATAGCTAAATTTTGGAAACAAGCCAAAGGCCCATCAACTGAGGAATGGAGAAAAAGTATTTTTCTACAATGGAGTTCTACTCAGCCATAAAGAAGGATGAACGAGATTTATAGGTAAATTGATGTAATTTGAGACAAGTGAAATAAATGTGTAAACATTGCATTGTCTCAAGTGTGAGAAGCTGAAACAATGTTATGTATACGTATATAAAAAAAGTTATACTACTGATTTCCGAGTTTACTGAAGAGAGATTTATGCTGGTATATTTGGACAATTAAATGCAAATGTCTTGTGCACTGAGTGAATGATTTGGGAATGGCAATGTACCACTGTCTCTTGATCAACGTGTTTTGAAACTTTTTCTCTGAAATAAAATGGATCTGAACAATGTTAAAAAAAAGAGGAAATGCTCTAAAAATAGTGATTTGATGATCTCATTATACAGCAGGAAGATATAGTCTGACGGATTCAAACCTTCCTCTTCCACCGTGGCTAGGTCTTTTAATAATATTTGAGGACCCCAACAAAGGAGCCTAAGTTGCTTGCTTTATTAGTTGGTTTTGGGAAAGAGTGAGTTAAATTTACCTGCTTTGGGGGAGGGCTGGGGATTTAGCTCAGCGGTGTAAGAGCTGGCCTGGCAAGTGCAAGTTCATGAGTTCGATCCCCAGTACCAAAAAACAAAACAAAAAGCAAAACAAATTTACCTGCTTTCAAGTGTGGTGATGTATGAAGATACACTTTCTCCTGGAACACTGTGGAGGACAAAGACAAATGTCAGCCATTTTTGTAACTGGGACAGACAGCTTCTATACCTCCAACCTCCTGTTGCTCACTTCGTTACTTCCAGGCTTATGGGACATGGATAGTTAAAGGGTCCTGCAGCCATTTCAAAGGACAGAGAGTTCAACATTTTATTTTTAGTTACTGACATTTGCAGTCCCGATTACATAATAGCATACATAGCACTGGCCAACTCAGCTTTCTCTAAATTCAAGGCAGGTCTCATGCCTGCCAGGGTAAGAACTAAATTACAGAGAAGGAAATAAATCTAGGTATTTTCCTAACTCCATTCCCACACTGACATCCCCCAAATGTACATTTCTAGTCAGTACCTCTCTTGGGACCTCTAGCTCTGGTGCCTATCACCCACTTGCCATCTGCTTTTGTATATCTAATAGGCATTTGGATTACACCCAAAAGCAATTTTGCCCATTTTTCCTTTCCAAGGTTGTCCCTACTCAATAAATGGAAACTAGTCCCTCAAGCCAAAAACTTTGGTATTACCCTTGACTCCTTCGTGCACATTCCACAATTCACAATTTTCTTAATATTGTTTTTTAATGACTTTTTTCCCAGTACCAAGAATTGAACTCAGTAACTTGTGCTTGCCATGCAGGAGTTTGCACCACTGAACTATATCCCCAGCAATACTGTTTTTGTTTCATTTCTTTTTCAAGACAGGGTCTTACTATGTAGTTTAGGCTGGTCCTGAATTCATAGTGTAGCTCTGACCAGCCCTCCACTCACTGTGATCCTCTTGCTTCAGTCTCCAGTTGTGTGCCAACATCCCCAGGTTAACACATTTTTTATAAATACTCCACACCTAAGCATTTCTCATCAATTCCACTGTTTCTAAACATACACCAATTCATCACTATCTTTCTTCTGCATTATTTCAGAACCCTTGTAGGATGCTTCCTCAGTTCTGATCTTGGTAACCTTATTCACAATATAAATACAGCAGCTACAGTGAGTCCATTCATTCATTCCTACAGTGCTGGGCATTGCATATTAAACAAGTGTTCTGCCACTGAACTATGTCTTTGCCCCTTTTAAAACATAGGTCAGGCCAGGTATGGTGATGCATGTCTGGAATCCTAGCACTTGGAAGACCGAGGCGGGAGGATCACTACAAGTTCGAGGCCAGCCTGGGCTACATAGTGGCTTCAAAGACAGCCTGAACTACATGGCAAGATCCTGTCTCAATCAATAATACAAAACTTAGGTCAATCCTCTACTCAAAATCTTCTAAGCTGCTACAGTCACACTTGCAGCACTCTGGAGGCTGAGGCAGGAGGACTGCAAGTTAAAACCCTTCCTAGAAAGATTCTGTCTCAAAAAATGGGTTGGGGATGTAGCTCAGAATGAAGTCCTTGAGTTCAACGGCAAATAAAACAAAAACTTCCAATGACTTATAGTACGAATAACTTAACCCTCAGCCAGGCATGGTGGTGCACACAACACTTAGGAGGCTAAGGCAGGAGTACTGTTGTGAATTCAAGGCCAGCCTGGGCTACAAAGTTTAAGACCAGTCTGAACTATGTAACAAGACCCTGTCTCAACCCTCATGCTTTCTCCTCAAAACCTGTCACATTCTCAAAATAGAGGGCCTTGTAAGGCCCTACCCAACCTGCGTCTTTGCTGCCCCTGAGTTTTCTTCAACCATTTTTCGCTTCTGTTTGTTCCAGTCCCCTGGCCTATTCCTAAAGGTACCTGGCATACTCCCATCTTAGGTCCTCTGCTCCAGCTGTTACTTCTGGAATGCTCTTCCACATTACCTGCATGGCTCACAGGTTTGCCTCCTTTGGTTCGTTTATTCAATTAAATAGCACCTCAATAAGGAAATTCCTGACTATTCTGATAAAAAAAGTATTCTACCCTGAACATTCTTCTTCTCTACTACCGCCCACTGAAATGTAAATTCTTTGGAACCGGGGATTTTTTCTCATTCAGGGATATACCCTCAGTCTCAAACTGCTTGGCACACAGTAGGTGCTCAGTATTAAGAATGAATGAAAATATCTCTCCTAGGCTCACAATAGGGGAGGACTAAACTCAGAGGCAAAGCGACTGCTCCCAGTGCCTAGGGACTAGAGATGCAATGTTGCCCTCAGTGTTTCTCTGCAGGGCTGTTCTCTTTGGGGAAAACTTCAGTGGGACGTGGCTTTCATCAGCAGCGGAACCTCAGTCCAGAGGGCTGCAGAGCTAAACAGGGGGCTGACCTGATGCAATGGTTACACAGAGATTAGCTGGCAGACAGGAGGGGAGAAAGGCAGGGGCCAATCCCCGGAGGACAATACCCTGGGGAACCCCAAATGGTTTCCCACACTGAAAGAGCTCCAGGCTGCTCTCTTGTGTGGGTGGCCCAGAAACCTCTGGGAAAAAGGGAAATCAATCCCTATTCCTGGTCCATCTGCACCTCTGTTCCCAAAAGGTAGTGTCAGTCAAGGTTTTCCAGACGTCTGCCAAGTCCAGGGCTCCCAACTACTCCCACCTCAGCAATGCAGCTGAGCCACGGTTGGGGATGGAGTAGAGGGAATGCCGCTGGTGGCAAAGTGACAGAACAGCCACGGGCAGGGTCACCCAGTCTTCTCGGAGTGCGGCTGTGTGCTACTGCTTCGCCTCAGCGGACAGGCCAAACGAGATGGCCTGAAGTAGGCGACGGAAAAACATTTACCGATTATACCAGGGGTCCCTTTGCCCAGCAGCAGAAACAGGAACCATGCGGTGGGCAGGGGTGAGGAATGAAAAGGAAAAGGCACCACTCCTGAAAAATGGACTCTCCATCCCTCCCTTTGATGGCTCCTAAATTCACTGTGGAGGGGGTTGGGCCACATCCAAAAGAGCGGATGCCATAAATTTAGAGAAGACAACGGAAGTCCGTGAAGATGGGAAGGTAAAAGACAGGGAGGAAATCAGTACTCGCCTCTCTCCTCAGGTTCCAGCTCTGATTTTGGCTCTGTCGCTGCCACCGGCTCATCTTCAACATGATATACTCTCTGTGTTTCACTCAAGCCTCTGACCTCGAGAAAGCTGAGCCAAGGCCCTTTAAGCACAGCCTTGCCCTCCTCTCGGAGGCGGGATCCCAAAACCTGCCAATCACAACGCGGCACGCCATCATTGGCCACGCCCATCTCTCACAACCGCCACTCAGAAATCTCGCAAGACCGCCCCCGTCGCTCCCTCCCGCCAGGGGGTCGACGTCGCGTCGGACCCGGAAGTAGCTTTGGGTCACGCGGCTTCGCGGAGGCGGTGGGTGAGTCATGCGCGCAGAGGGGAGTGTGGGGGGAGGGGAGGGCAGGGGGGCGGGGATGATGCAATGTTTGGCAACCGGTGCCTGCGCGCGCACGCGCAGGGGACATCGAGGGTGGTGGGAGGTGCAGAGGGTGGGGGAGAGGAAAGGAGAAGGCGGGGCGCCAGCTCCCAGCACCCAACGGCCCCAACGGCTATCAACTGTGGCCGCCCCCAGGCTGCTCTGTGGCGCCTCACTGCAGCATGTCTCTTCTCCCCGAAGTTGCTGTTCTGCTCCCTTAGTGTTACCTTCGTTTTACCTTCTTAAGAGACTCCCATTTTCCTTGGCCCCTCCCAGCTAGTGGTTACTTAGGCCCGGGAATCACTCTTTTTTTCAAAGTTTGCATCCATCCACCTGGATTGACACTTCATTAACGGGTCTCTACTTTAAACCTTCTAACGACCCCAAAAGATGCCGAGGTACTGGAATGCACTTGATATACTTTCTTTGCTTCTCTCAGAAGCCCATCCTTGATTTTTATCGTATAGTTTCTGATAGCCTTCGACATGCCAGACTCCATGTTCTTTGCTGAATGAACCCGGTTGTGTTTTTTCCTTATTTTTTCCCGTGGTGCTTTTGTATTCTTCAAAGAGCAAGACCCTCCTTTTCACTGTTCCAGAAGAGCAAGTCCCAAGATTCCCTGACTCCCTACTGAGGAGCTGGCACAGGCTCCCTTCTCCTCGGTGTTGGGTCACGACCTCCAGGGGAGCCGAGCTCCCGGGACCTTAAAGCTGCTGAGCGGAGCGCATGACTTTCCTGGATGGGCTGTCAAGAGCCTAGATTCTGGCCTTTGCTCTCTCGCCTTCCCGGCGATCCTTACCCCTCTCATTTGTAGAGATAAGTTGTGAAGGTAAAATGAGAGCATTCTGATCATGAACTTGGAAGCAACTTGAACAAAAGTAGAGAGCACTATGCAAAACGCAAAGTATTTTTCTGGTGCCATGAAAACAGGCTTTGTAGTAGCCTGTTACCTTGCCTGTCATACCCTCATGGGAACTGCCAGAGTGTAAGTAGAAACTGTCCCGAGACCGGTTGTGACTAAATGGTGTGGCAGTGACAGGTCCGTGGATGGGCTGCACCGCTGTCCCCAGACTTCTATTTCCCTTTCTGTGAATGGAGGTGGGGGTGGACCAGATGGTCTCTCCTGGCCTAAAGACAGACCAGGTTGTCAGTGACAGGCGGAGGTCATGTGACTTGACAGGCCGAGGTCGTGTTGTGACATGTTGACCTGGGGAGGCGGGTCAAGTCCCAGCACACTACTCAGGAAGCCTTTGGGGCGGGGCAGGACAAGTAGCGACTTTCATCTTTTGGGGTTGGCCCCTCCCGGACCTGGCATTCTTAGCTCCCCTAACAGATTGTGGCTTTGGAAGGGCCCCTTTCTGGGGAGAGCTGGGATTGGCCACCAGTGGCTTGGGAAGACGCACAGATCCTTCCGCGAAGGGGGGTGGCGCGTGGGGTGTTTGTTCTCCTGGGGATTAATGGGGGTTTGTGGGGGAGGGGCGGGCGCGCTCCCGCATGCGCACTGCGGCCCCTCCAGTTGGCTCGCTGCTGTCCGCTGGGCGGGGGCCGGGCCCCGCCCCTCTCCCGTCCGGGCGGCGGCGGCTGCGGCGGTGGCGGCTGCAGCGACGGCAGCGGCGGCAGCAGCCTGCGCGGTGCCTTCTGGGAACGGAATCCCCAGGGCTGCCCCTGGCCCCCATGGCGCATGCGCGGGAGGCCGCTCGGTGATCCGCGGCGGCGGCGGTGGCGCTTCCTGCTAGGACCGGCCGGGGCCGTACCGGAGGCTCGGGCTCCACCGACCCTCCTCCCACTCCCTCCCACTCACCCTCTGGGCCGTGACTGCGCAGGGCGGGGCCGGCCGAACCATGGGCCGCGGTGAGTGCGGGGCCCGGCCCCCCCACCCCGCCCCTCCCCCTCCCCTCCTGTACCTACCCTCTGCCCCCTCTGCGTCCTCTCGGCCCCTTTCCCGGCCCCATCCCACTCCCCCGCCCTCACCTGCCCCCGCCGTTTCTCCCTCTTACTGCCTGACTTCTGCCTTCCTCATCTCCCTCCCTTCACTGCTTTGCCCACCCTCTGCCCGCCCTCTCCAAGTTCCTTCCTAGTTCGTGCGCCTTCCCCTCCTCCTCAAGCAGAGGGAAGCTGTCTGGGTGACAGGGCGCCTTGTTATGAGAGGGAAAGTTTGGAAATCGTCAGTGTGGAGTGGGAGCGATGGTGAGATTGGGGAGAATGCTTGCAGGTTTGAGGGGTGTCCCGTATATTAGAGGAGAATGTCTCGGAGCTAATTGGAAACTAGAGGGATTAAAGGTTCTGAATCCTCTTCCTTGCCTTAGGCTTGGAGAAGACTAAAGAGCTTCTTTGGATCCTGGAAGAAGGCAGAACTGTGATTCTCACTCAAGCCCCATGTAAACTAGATCAATGATTGTCTGATGGAGTGGGCATGGGGCGATTTCTGCTAGTATCTCTCCAGCAGGCAGTTGAACCATTACCTGGAGACCTGTGGGGCAGTTTGTACTTTTTATGTGTACTTCCTTTGGAGACAAGGCCACTCTGGGAAACTTACCAGTGTCCAGGCGTTAGAGGAATTTATCCACACTTCATACACAGAGTGTTCCTAATAGGGCGCAGGGCTTGTCCCACCATATGCCTGGAAATTGGGCAAGGATGCTTTGGTTCCTGGGAGGTGAGGCCCTGACCCTCTGATTCCTAAGGACTGGGCTTTGAAAAGATGGTTATGGACTCAGACAGCAGATTCTTGAGCTCATTATAGGCATTTACCTCACACTGTTAGGGGTCTCTTCTTGAGAGTGTCGTGGGCTCTGATGCTCTTTTTGAGTCTGGCAAATTCCTAAGGATCCTTTCTCCTGTATTGCAGGTGTGGGCTAAGCTGGCGGCCCGGGCTTTAGACTGGACCTCACAATGTTTGCAGAGATGTTCAGGTAGCCTTAGCAGTATGGCAATATGGCAGAGGATTCTTTCTCATTTTCCCAGGTCTCTGAGGGGACCTTGTCACTCTGAGGCATCCCCTGAGTTTCCTTGGGTCTCCCCAAAACCTTTGCCTTGCTGGAGTCCTCCCTCAGGTACCCGGCCCAGTTTAATCCTCCTAGTGCCCACATGGATGTCTGTGTTATTAGGCACGCGGGAGCTGATTACACACAATGAATGGGGGCAATGAGAGCAGTGGAGCAGACAGAGCTGGGGGCCCTGTGGCCACATCTGTCCCTATCGGCTGGCAGCGCTGTGTGCGAGAGGGTGCTGTGCTCTATATCAGGTATAGATCTTCAAAGTTCCCCAAATACTATCTACCTGGCTGTCCTTGGCTTGCCTAAGTTTTCTTTTGAAGGTCTCCGTGTGTCTGGTACCCTGTTGCTCTTCTTCATTCTTCTTCCTCAGCCTTGCCTCCCCACCCCCTCCCCCAGCTGTTTTTGCTTTCTGTATTTCTGGACCTTGCATCCATTTTCTGTCTTCTCACTTTTCTTATCCTCTGTCTTTCCTGGGAAGTTCTTTAACTGAAGAAGTGACCTTAGGGAGTATCTTCTGGTTTACTGTCACCTAATTTCTGGCCCTGTCCTCTCCCAGCCCAAGTGGCACAGAGCTGTCTTCCTTGGAACAAACCCGGAGCTACCTCCTCAGCGATGGGACCTGCAAGTGTGGTCTGGAGTGTCCACTCAATGTCCCCAAGGTCAGAGTCATGATAGGTGCCAGAGAGTAAAAAGATAAGCCCAAAGACAGTGCAAATCACTGACTAGATAGCCTTTGACACCCTTGTCTTTTGAATCCTAGAAGTGGGAAAGCCCTCAAAACCCCGCAACCTCTGGCTCCTGCTCCTGAGACACATCCTCAGGGTCTCTGGCCATGCCCATCTACCCTACAGGTTTTCAACTTTGACCCTTTGGCCCCGGTGACCCCGGGTGGGGCTGGGGTGGGGCCAGCATCAGAGGAGGACATGACCAAGCTGTGCAACCACCGGCGGAAAGCTGTTGCCATGGCAACTCTGTACCGCAGCATGGAGACCACCTGCTCACATTCTTCTCCTGGTGAGTGTTCTGCTTCTGCCACGTTACTGAAGACTGAAGAAAATCTAAGGGTCTGGAAGGTGGATGGTGGGTGGAGTTGTATAAGAGGGAGCAAAGAGGGTGGAGTTGGGTGCAGAGCTCCTTGGTAAGAGGAGGGGATTGGGAGGCAAGGAACTTTCTTGGGAGATGGGACTGCAGAAGACAAAAGAAAGTTCCTGGAAGGGAAGCTGCAGGTTGACCCTTGATTTCTCATTTATTGCAGGAGAGGGAGCGAGCCCCCAAATGTTCCACACTGTGTCCCCAGGGCCTCCCTCTGCCTGCGTTCCCTGTCGAGTTCCTCCTGCAACTCCACTTAATGGGGGTCCTGGCTCCCTTCCCCAAGAGCCACCCTCAGTTCCCCAGGCCTTCCCCCCTCTAGTAGGCCCTGGGGGGCTCTTCCAGCTACCAAGGCTTCCTGATTCAGTCCCTTCTGGGGGCAACAGCAGTCCCTGTTTTCTCCCAAGGGGCAATGCCCCCTCTCCAGCCCCACCTCCCCCACCTGCTATCAGCCTCAATGCCCCCTCATACAACTGGGGAGCCACGCTCCGGTCCAGTCTGGTGCCCTCTGACCTAGGCTCTCCTCCAGCTCCTCTTGCCTCTTCCTCACCACCTTCAGATCCTCCTCTCTTCCACTGTAGTGATGCCTTAACACCCCCTCCCCTGCCCCCAAGCAATAATCTCCCTGCCCCCCTTGGTGGTCCCTCTGGTCCTGCCACTCAGCCATCAGTGTCTTCAGCCACTATGCACCTGCCCCTGGTCTTGGGTTCCCTGGGAGGGGATCCCATGGTAGAGGGGCCTGGGGCACCCCCTTTTCTTGCTAGCAGTCTACTCTCTGCAGCGGCCAAGGCACAGCATCCCTTGCTACCCCCTCCCAGCACTTTACAGGGCCGAAGGCCCCGTGCCCAGGCGCCCTCTGTTTCTCACCCCTCATCACCCCATCCCTCTCAGCGTCGATCTCGCAGACCCCCAACTGTCTTGCGATTGCTAGAAGGGGGAAGCCCTCAAACCCCTAGACGGAGCCGTCCTCGGGCCCCTGCCCCTGTGCCCCAGCCTTTTCCTCTTCCAGAACCATCCCAACCGATTCTTCCTTCTGTTTTGTCCCTGCTGGGACTCCCCACCCCTGGCCCGTCCCACTCTGATGGAAGCTTTAACCTTTTGGGGTCAGATGCACACCTTCCTCCTCCCCCAACCCTCTCCTCAGGGAGCCCTCCCCAACCCAGGCACCCTATCCAGCCCTCCCTGCCTGGGACCACCAGTGGCAGCCTCAGCAGTGTGCCAGGTATGTGAATGTTGTGGATCCCTTGCTTAGCCTGGGGCCATAGAGGCAGCCAGAGCATTGAGGTGAAATTTTAGCACTGTTTGGTGGTTGGGCTGAGGGCAGGGAGTTTGGGTTCTTTGGCTGTTAGGAGAAAGGACTCCCTTGAGCTGAATCTTTCTCTTCTTTTACAGGTGCCCCTGCCCCACCAGCTGCCTCCAAAGCTCCCATAGTCCCCAGCCCTGTGCTTCAAAGCCCATCTGAGGGGCTGGGGATGGGGGCGGGCCCAGCCTGCCCTCTGCCCCCCTTAGCTGGTGGGGAGGCTTTCCCTTTCCCTAGTCCTGAGCAAGGCCTGGCGCTGAGTGGAGCTGGCTTCCCAGGGGTGCTGGGGGCTTTGCCTCTTCCTCTGAGTCTGGGGCAGCCTCCACCCTCTCCATTGCTCAGCCACAGTTTATTTGGTGTGCTGGCTGGGGGTGGAGGACAGCCTCCCCCTGAATCCCTGCTACCCCCACCAGGAGGACCTGGCCCTCCTCTAGCCTCAGGCGAGCCTGATGGGCCTTCCCTTTTGGTGGCTTCCTTGCTCCCACCACCTTCATCAGACCTTCTGTCACCTCCCTCTGCACCCCCTAGCAACCTCCTTGCCTCTTTTCTGCCCCTTTTGGCCCTGGGCCCCACAGCTGGAGATGGGGAGGCATCTTCAGATGGAGCTGGGGGTCCAAGTGGGGAGCCATTTTCAGGTTTGGGAGACCTGCCCCCTCTACTTTTCCCCCCACTTTCAGCCCCCCCTACCCTCATAGCTTTAAATTCTGCGCTGCTGGCTGCCAGCCTGGATCCCCCCTCGGGGACACCTCCCCAGGTGAGGATAGGGGATGAATGGATGGGACAGAACAAGAGATGGAAGCAGAGCTGGAAGCTGGGAAGGAAAGTCTGAGCTCTTAGAAGTTCTGGGGAGGACTTGTTCTTGGCTGGAAGTGGGATGGCTATAAGAACAGTGTTTGGGGCTGGGGATTTAGTTCAGCGGCATAAGCACCTGCCTTGCAAGCAGGCAGTCGTGAGTTCAATCCCTGGTACCGATAAAAAGGAAAAAGGTACTACGGCCATACCACCCTGGGCGCGTCTGATCTTGGAAGCTAAGCAGGGTCGGGCCTGGTTAGTACTTGGATGGGAGACCGCCTGGGAATACTGGGTGCCGTAAAAAAAAAAAGGAAAAAGGCAAAAAAAAAAAAAAAAAAAGAACAGAGTGTTTTAGTAAACATGGCATATGGCATTTGAGGTTTCAGTCAAATCCAGTATATAAAAGTATTACACACTTTACCCACCAGATAAGTGCTGTAACAATTCTCTCTCCTTAGCCCTGTGTCCTGAGTGCCCCCCAACCTGGACCACCTACCTCCAGTGTCACCATGGCAACTACTGACCCGGGGGCCTCCTCTGTGGGCAAGGCCCCCTCCAACTCAGGGAGACCCCCCCAACTCCTTAGCCCTCTGCTGAGTGCCAGCCTGCTGGGTGAGTCTGAAAGAGAAGCAGTAAAAAGTAGGGGAAAAGTTTTGACTGAGCACTTGGGTAAAGCCTAGGAGGATAATAGGGTCTGTTATGCCTAATTGGTTTGCCTGGAGAGAAACCCCTGTCTTAATTTTTCAACAGGTGACTTATCTTCACTGACCAGCAGCCCTGGAACCCTCCCCAGCCTATTGCAGCCTCCTGGCCCTCTTCTCTCTGGCCAGTTGGGGCTGCAGCTCCTCCCTGGGGGGGGAGCTCCTCCACCCCTCTCAGAGGCTTCTAGTCCCTTAGCCTGCCTGCTACAGAGTCTCCAGGTGAGGATAGGGGTGGATATTTGTTAGGGAAATCTTTTCTAAAACTAGAAATTTAAGGATTTCTGATTGAAATATTTTGCCAGCAGATTCCTCCAGAGCAGCCAGAAGCCCCCTGTCTGCCCCCTGAGAGTCCTACTTCAGCCCTCGAACCGGAGCCTACCCGGCCTCCCCTCAGTGCCTTAGCCTCACCCCACAGCTCTCCTGGCCCCCCAGTCCCTGAGCTGCTCACTGGGAGGGGGTCAGGGAAACGGGGCCGGAGGGGAGGAGGGGGACTTAGGGGCATTAATGGTGAGGCCAGGCCAAGCCGGGGCCGAAAACCTGGTAGTCGGCGAGAGCCTGGCCGAATGGCCCTCAAGTGGGGGACACGTGGTGGCTTCAATGGACAAATGGAACGGTCCCCAAGGAGGACCCACCATTGGCAGCATAATGGGGAGCTGGCTGAAGGGGGTGCTGAGCCCAAGGACCCACCCCCTCCTGGGCCCCATTCTGAGGACCTTAAGGTGAGTGCAGTGATTGAGGGCTGGGCTCGCAGGCTCTGAGATAAAACTGGGGCTGGGCCTTTTTCTCACTTTTCCATACACACAGTCTCTCTTTCCTCAGGTGCCCCTGGGGATAGTCAGAAAGTCTCGTCGTGGCCGGAGGAGAAAATACAAGTGAGTCTTATGCCTGCCTTTTAACTGGCCTTTGCCTGCTTCTTGGGATTATAGAAATGTCCAGATAGTGGCTTGGCTTTCAAAAGGGCAGCTATTTCTTTAAATATGAATAAAGATATTATGCCTTTACTATCCAAATGTAGAAAGTTTCCCACCCAACCTTCTGAAATTCACCTGGTGCTTGGGGAGCTGTTCCTGATCATCTGTGCCCCTTATTGCAGCCCTACCCGAAACAGCAATAGCTCCCGCCAGGATGTTCCCTTGGAACCCAGCCCTACAACCCGAGTAAGTGTGTGGGTGGGGAAGTGAATGGGGAGGGGTACATAAGTGATGAGAAAGAAGGAAGGGAGGCTTAGAGGGAGTCAAGAAAAAAGAAGACTTCTAGATACCTAGCTGATTGGTTGCTCTTTCAATTTTGCCTCATATAGGCAGCTGTCCCTCTGCCTCCCCGGGCCCGCCCTGGCCGTCCTGCCAAAAACAAGAGGAGGAAACTGGCCCCATAGCAGCTATACCTGGAGCTGGATCTGACCCTGACTGGGGAGAGCTGAGTGCTGAGCCTTGGAGCCCCTGCCAGCCACTTGCACCTGTGGACAGTGGGTGGGGGTACTACTCCCCACTCAGAGCACAAATGCAACCCCTTCCCCTACAATCCCCTCCTGAGCCATTGCAGGGGGTAAGGAAGCTCCCCCTCTCCCCCCCAAAGCCATGTCACTGAAAAGGCCTTGGGGGGGTGGTATGTGGCCTCTCCCCACCAGGCGCTAACACCCCCTTCCTGAGGTCTTTTATTTGTTTAAGTTATTTTTGCACAAATGACTCTTTTATATTTAATTCGACTTCATTGCCTCCCTTCTTAAAGCCAGCAGGCTCAGTTTACAAACCTGTGAGCTACTGTTGGCTGCTGCCCTCCTTCCCAGTGAAAGGTACAAAGCAATAAGCATCATGCATCTCCCCACCCCAGCGTCCCTCTGCTTCCGGCTCAGGTTGCTCAAAGCACAGATCCCCTCTTACCCCTGTCCCCAGGTTTGAAACACAGAGCCTCATTTCAGAGTGTAGCCAGGTTCCCTCTACTTTCCTCTGGGATACAAAAAGGGGATAAGGGGGCAAAGAGAGCCCTCTGGGCCTCTCCTCCCATACACACTACACTGCCCCTTCTCCCCCCCATCAAAATGCTCAGAGACGTTGTGATGTGACTGAGGATTATGCAACGTGGTCCAACCGGAGCGGCCAGCATGACCAGCTGTCCAGGGGCTGCCTCCTGCCTTTTCTTTTGTAAAGACAAGACCCTTGGGAGTTTTAATTCTGTTTTGTACTTGCCCTTCGGGGCCTCCACTGCTTTTCTATGGGAGACACTCTTAATTTAACAGATGAGAATATTTTGAAACTCCGGCTTTGGCTCTGTACTCATTTTTTATTTAGCTCTTTGGTAAGAACAGGTTCCAACTGAAACCTGTTTCTGGTAGTGGAAAGTGATTTAGATTCGATTATGTTCTGAACGGTTGTATCTCAGTACTACTTCTTCCCCAGGAAACACAGCAGAGGCCACACAGAGTACAACAGCATTTAATGGTCAGAAACAGTTGTACATACAGTATTATAGTCAGCCACAGAAGCTGTGTTGGAGAACAAGGACCCAATCCTCCCCTATACCAGGCAAAGCAGTATTGGACGTGAGCTGGCATGTGACAAGGCCCATGTCCTCATCCCCTAGGCCTGAGGGGAGATCACATCTAATACCCCCAGCTACGACTTCATCAGGGGAGGGGTGTAAACCCCACATGCAAGAACCCTTGCCCCCAGTGTCAAATAGGATAGGGCTGGGAGAGTTACAATGGCAGGGAAACCCTGTAGCATTAAGAGAGTTCAGAGACTCAGGGGTTATCCCTGTTCTCCTCCTCCTAAAGGTGCTCACTTTCCCAGCTGCTTCATCCGTTCATCAATGCTGGCAAAGTTCCCCTCAACTGTAGCCAGGTTTTCACGCATGGTTTTCTGCACCTATAAAGAGAGCAGATAGGTACATAGTCAGGCTATGGTACTTACATGCATGAGAAACATCCAGAACAGATTACAGAAGATAAAAATAAATAGAAACGTAACACATGGGTTAGGGGAAGGAGTGTTTAAGTACCAGTGGACTACCACAGGCCTAGCTTGGGGTTTGGAGGACTGCTTAGAATTCCCAGCCCAGCCAAGGTATGGTGTGGTACACACCTGTAATTCTAGTACTACAGGAAGCTGAGGTAGGAGGATACCAACTTCTAGGCCACCAATGACAGCCAGAGCTCCTCAATAAAGGAGGTGGGGATACAGCTCATTGTGAAGGCCCTGGGTTCAAGTCCCACTACTTAAAAATCTGTTGTATTATTGGGGATTTAGCTCAATGGCATTGGCGCCTGCCTTGCAAGTGTGTGACCATGAGTTCAATCCCTGTTACAAAAAAAAAAAATCTATTTATGTAATGAGAACCAAATAAGCCTGATTGTAGGTGTGTGCCACTGCCCAGCTATAACAAGTATTCGAGTACTTTGTTTTTAAGTTTTGATTCTGTGATCTCCTGACTCTAATATACTCATAATGCTGAGTATAGTGCCTCCAAAAAAACTTGTTTTTTTTTTTTTTTGCTATGTGTCAGTCATACTTAAAGGCATAAATGAAAAAGGTGAGGGTCATGGTCCAGGATTATACAGAGACTGGATTTTAAAACATGTCCACTAACACCTAATGATTCTCCCATATTATTGTACCTAACCCACATAACTGAAGGAAGGACAATTTACCAGTTGGGTTTTTTTTGTTTGTTTGTTTGTTTTTGAGACAGGGTGTTGCTTTATATCTCAGGCTGGCCTTGAACTTGCTGTGATCCTCCTGCCTCAACCTCCTGAGAGCTGGGAAAACAGGCATGTGCCACCATGAAATTTATTGGAACAATAAATGCTCATAAGCTGTCAAAGGTCCCACACTGTTAAAAAACAGTATGGAGAGTCAAACCAAGTCCCTGCCACAATATCGGGCCACAAAATGAACTAAGACAAAATCCCAAGTGATGAAGCTGGAGAACATAGTTTGTATGTGCTGAACAAAATTTTGTTTTGAGACCAAATCAACAGAGGTACACACCTGAGTCAAAAGGGTGGCATTGTCCTTGAGGGAACTGGCAATCATCTGCTGGGTGGTATCTAAGTGTGTCAGGAGCTGGCCAAACTGCATGGCTACAAAAGAAAGGTATGATTGAGACTAGAATCCAAGACAAGAAGGAGAGGAATAAACTGGCTTTTTCAATTCTTGGCATGCCTGGCTGTTGGCCTCCCACCTTGTTCATGCAGATGCTTGATGGTAACAAGTCTTTGCACCAGCTCAGGAAGGGTGGAGGCTATGGGGCTCCAGCGCTGTACGGTTTCGTATAGCTGGTGCACCTAAAAAGAGATGACAGGGTCCATAGCAGATGGCTGAGGTGGCCATGAAGAGCTCACCATCCGCTGTAGAGAGGATCAAGGGTGGAAATGGAAACACTGTCCTGACTCTCAGCTGATAAGAGTTTATAGAGACAGAACATGGAAATCCAGTGTGTTCTCAGGTGTTGATATCACCAATTGGAAAACCTGAGACAGTGGAAGGGGTATAAAAAAGGGGAAGGTATCTTCCTGACCTTGCTTTGTGTATCGGCATCCTCCACAGAGGCTTTATGCTTGGCAATCTCATTCACCTTTCCCAGGACACTCTGAAAGCACAGATTTTAAAACTGACAGTGAGGGGACTGGGGCGTCCGGATATTTCAAGCTACTCAGGATGCATTTGTCCCCCACCTCAATACCTGTAGCCGAGCCTCCACTTGGTCCAAAACTGCAAGGTCCAGGGCGCTCACCTTTGCCTGTAACAGCTCTACCGTCTCCTGGAAGTGGGAAGAAGTATCAAAGGGAAAGTTATGAGACTAAGAATAGGCCTGCCATATTCCATGTTCATGTATAGCTATAGACTCAGAAGTGAGTCTGGGATCTGGTCCAGTCCCAGTCTCCCCTCTGTAACCCAACATTCCTTCCACACTCACCATCAGACAGGCTCCGTGCAGACCAGCAGAAAGGGGATTCTGAAAGAAAAGGCAGAGAAAGAAGAAAACAGTGAGTCTCATAGCCATGTGATTACCACCTTTCCCTACCCTTCATGCTTCTAAGCTGGCAGATCTTAGTAACCAAAGCCCTTTGCTGACTTCTAGGCTTATTTGGAATGCTGTGGGACCCTAGGGCTGAAGGTGCGGGATTTAAGGCTCAGACTAAGTAAAAAGGAGAGCACCTGACCTGAGCATCCTGATCACAGCGGACAGTTGCCTCCAGCTCTGTTAGGCGCTTCTCAAGTTCTGCAACCTAGGGGTAGACAGGAAGTAAGATCTGCCATCATGCCTCTACAGAAGAAATAAGATCATGCCTTGTGTGCTTATCACTCCCCATCCCTTCCCTAGGGTACTCTTTTTCCCTGTAACACATCCCTAGCCAAAATCTTCAACTCCTAACTGAAGGTAGATGGGTGAGAGAAACATGAAGAATGAGACATAAAAAACAAAACGAAAAAAACACCTCCCTATCACCTCCTCCCCAGGCCTGATCCTTCAGAGGCAGAAAACTCTAGGCCCACATCTTCTTTGGCCCTTTAACTATATATACATGTACATACTTACTTTCGCAGCTTGAGAGAATTTGTCCTGCTCAGGCCGAGAATGTAGTTCATATGTGACAAGGCTGCTATCTGGGAGGGTTCCACTGGTAGTCTTTCCCCCTGAACTCCCTTTGCTGTTCTTTGTTGTTTCCAGCTGCAGCAGGAGGCGCCTGGTCAAGTATAATATCATGACTTGAAAGATGAGGGCCACTTTCTCTTGCCTCATAGTCAACATTAAAAAACAGCTAGGCTAGGGCAGGTGGTGGTGCATGCCTGTAATCCCAGCACTTGGGAGGCTGAAGCAGGAGGATCACTGTCAGTTCAAGGCCATCCTGGGCTACAAAGTGAGTTCAAGACCAGCCTGAACCGCATAGTGAAACCCTGTCAAAAAATGGGCCAGGGATATAGTTCAGTAGCACAAACACCAGCCTGACAAGTACAAGAATCAGTTTGATTTCCGGTACCAAAAAAACCCCAAAGGAATACCTAGGCCATTTCCTCCCTTATTATCCCCTATGAGTAGCTGACTGAGTTTCTCCAGATCCCCAGTCAGCAACGATTTTCCAACAAGTAGGGCACCCACTTAGCCAGAGCTCCATCAGGGTCGGCGAGGTTGATCGCAGCATCTGGTCCCAGCAGCTTCTCTAGGTGGGAAGCAACCAGTTGCTGTTTCAGGGCTGCCAACTGCTTAGCCAGCACCACGGGGGTCAGCTTCTCCTCACTGGCTGACTCCTTCACTGCTGTCTGGTATAAAAAAAGAGGCAAACTATGCCGGGTGGCAGGAATCAATCAAATCAACTAAAAAGATCAGTAGCTGGAAGTCAGTTTTTAGCATAGTAGATTGTGTACCTGATAACTCTGAATGTAGATGCATGTATATCCCCAAACCCTAGGAACTTTAGTTGCCTTATCCAAGGAGTTTAGGGAATCTTCCTTTCTGCTGGGAGGTTCTACTCTGCCATGGTAAGTCACAGCAGAGGCAGGGAGGAGAATGTATAGTTACCTTGATTTTCTCGACCTCGGCTGTCAGCTCTTGGACCTCATGCAGTAGTCGCTGATACTTTTGCTGAGGTGTCTCCTTTATTCCCAGGCCCTCTCCAACCTAGAGAGCAAGCACAGAGGATGATGCACACCTCCTATTACAAACTGCCTCAAGAATTTGTCCAAACCCTAGGCCTGTCATAAGGTATCATATTCAACATCTGAATTCTTAACACTCTATTACAAAAAGAAACAGACAGTCAGAGACCTGGAGATCCCCAGAATTATCAGGGGTGGAGTGGGGAGCAGAAGATCACCAACTGCACTGTGCTTGATTCCTTAAGAACCTGACCAGAGAAACGCAGAATCTTGACCACACCCCCTTGATTTCCATTCTAAATGTCTGCTAGACAGGATTACCACACCATTCCCATCAACACACACAACACAAACCATCTCATATTCTCCAGATTCATATCCTGTCCTCTTCGTTTTTCCAATGCGATCTGAGAAATCTGCCAAGAGAAGAAGATGGAACTGAGCACTTAATCTAGAACAAAGGTAGTCATATTCTCAGGTGACTATGAGAGGTCACCAGAGATCTCCATGAGGGACCCTTTCCCTAGAACAAAAGCCACTGATATCTGAGGATAGAAGCCACTCCACATGCTTGTCTTCTAAGCTCCCCCTATCCAACTTTAGCTTAGGCTCACCAAGTCCCTTTGTCCCCACTCTCTTGTCCTTGAACTTGTCATAGGCAG